TCCGAACCCTGGGTGGGAGCGCCGCCGCACTCCCAAGCGGCGCACTGTAGCAGTGCGCCACTGGGCTAGCCCTAAAACCACTTTTGAGAAACTCAAATAACATTTTTTTTTTTCTATCTAGAAGCCTTTAAGATTTTTCTTCTATCCCTGGAGTCCTGGCATCTTTCCAGGATGTGCCTAAGTATCAATAAGGAAATCAACCCCACTATAATTGACAGAACTTCAGTTTCTGAATGCTAGAACTTAAAAACTATAACTCACAGTAGGTTATTTAATATTTTATTCCTGGAAAGTAGTATAATTTGTTTATAGATACTAAATACTTTACTAGACATATAGGTGACTTCTTTCAAATGTACATCAGGACCCCTTTCAAATAGGCCTTTTGAAATGGGCTCACTTATAAAGCCCACATCCCCTCCCTTGCTGATCATCACAAAGAATCGTCTTCATTACAGGCTAAGACCTCCTTACCCACTGCTGATCATAAGGCAAATCTTGGAGGGTCTTGGGTATACTCACGTACAAAAAAAAGCTTATCATGATGTGCTAAGAAACTGGATTGTGAATACTCTCTCCTGCCTTTCTGCAATGCAGTTCTTATAAATGGTGAAGTCTTATTTTTTACATTCTGAGTTAGTGGTCTTTTTTCACAGTAGTATAGTACCTGTGTTTATCTACCTTGCCTGGAATTTAGTGAAGCATTTTAATTTAAAGATTTGAGTCTTCTCTTCAAATAAGTTTTCTTCTAGTATTTAGTAACTTCCTCTTCTCCAGCTACTAATTTGTCTTCTAGCACTTCTGTTATTCACATAAAAATCTGCTGGATCTTTTAGCCAAATATATTTTCTTCCCCATTTTATAAATTCAATTCATTCACTCTTTGGATTTATGTTTCTTTGCATGGTCCATTTTTATAGGTCCAGCAAAGTTTTATGTGTTTGTGCATGTGCGTGTGCACAAGTGTATTTGTGCTATGCTTTAATCTCCTTAATTACTTTAATGATTCTGTTTATTGGGGGAGAGCTATTTTTGTTCAAGTTTAAAATCTAACTCTGCTCTGTCAACACATAAATAACACTATACCTTATCTGCTCAAAAAATAATATAAGATGTCAAATAATACTATTCATGTTAATTGGTTGATTTGATAAGAATCATAAGCTCTACTTAAATGATCAATTTCAGGACGTTTTTGCTATTCTTTGTTCTTGTCTAAATCTGTATCATTGGCCCATAATTATTAACTGTAATTTCAAACAGTTTGTTGAAAGCTGAGGTATCTTCAGGTTTCTCCAGCCCTTGTTTCCATAGACTTTAAGTTGTTTATTGAACTAGATAAGAGAGCTCTGCTCATCTAGGGTGGGGGTGAAGGGATGTGAGAGGCTTCTCCAACAGCTGTATCTTGTTAGAAGCTACCTATTTCGCATGTTCTCTTGATTCTCTTCACTCCGTGTGCTGGGACCCTGTAGATTGTCCATTTCTTTTATCTATTCACTGAGGGTTAAGTTCTATCTGCTGAGGTACCTTGGGTGGCAACAATCTTCAAAACAAAGTGAGGCACAGCTATCTCTGGCTGAGTCAGAAATTTGCCAGATGCCAAAAGCTAATTTCCTTGGATTGATGCCTAAAAGAAATCTCTCTGTTCCTCATTCTTTTCAGCAGGTATTCCCCCAGATTCGGGGCCAGAAGGAACTTGATATATATGCTAAGCCCTCCTGCAGCTCATAGGAGACAAGGAATTCCACTGTTGTTTCAGGAACACTCAAATGGGAAGCTATATCACCATCCCCTGGGAATTCATAGATTTCTGCAAACCCAGGTTCATACCCATTGGTCTCTTTCAACTGACTTCAAATTCTCCTCCAACAGAGGAGGATGGTTCTTTATCAAACTTTTTTTTTTTTTTTTTCAGTTTCCCCAGAATCTATAAAGGATTTTTCATTCTCCAGGACCAGTCACTGCTCAGCTCAGGAGAGGTCCTGTAGTTTGGTTAGAATTGTTGGACAAGGTCAGCAGGGACATATTAAAGCTCCCATCTCCACACTTAAATAAGGTATAAAGATGTCATTCTATGTGTTCTGTTGGTTTTTTTTCTTTCTTTTTTCTTTATGGATAGCCACAGGGGTCAAACCCTGGTCCTTGGTGTTATTAGCACCACACTGTAATCAACTGAGCTAACCAGAGCCTCCATGTATTTTTCAACTTGATAGTGTTACATGCTTTATTTAAAGACAAAGAACAAATGTTTCAAGAGGTGGCACATCTCATTTTTTTTTTTTGTAACTCTCATATGTTGAATAGAACACATGTTTTAGGGAAGCTTGTTCAGTGGTTGGATGAGTAATTGAATAAATGAACAAACCAAGGAAATCAGCTTCAAAGAAGCAAAAGGATCTTTTAAAAATTTATTCAGATATTTATTTATTCAATAATTATTTATTGAGCATGTGCTATCTTCCAGACTCTGTAAACACAAAGTTATACAGGACAAAATCCTCAACCTCTAAATTTTGCTTGCATCTCATTCAGGGATATAAGTGGTGAATTAGTGACAGACTAAAGTGTGAAAAGAGCTAGAATGATGGCATACATAGGGTGTTAAATGTAGGAGGAGAGGGGAACCTAAATCAAATTCAGCCATTTAAGGAAAACTTGCAGGGAAAAAAATAAAAAATAAGTTAAAAAAAAACATAAAGAACACATACAGCTAAGCAGAGACTGAGGTAAGACTCAACTCTACTGAAAATAAAGCCAACATTCTTTCCCCTGGAGACCACCTTGCTCATGAAATGAGTCTGTTCAATCAACTCTTTCTTCTTCTTTTTGAAGACAGAAGTTATTTGTGGGTGAGATTGAGCATTTATATGGATGTGGGGTGGTGGAGCAAGTCAACTGGGGACAGTAGCAACTGGAAGGGGCTTGTTAAAAAACCTATGAACTATCAGATCTCTTCCTACACACACCTCTCCTTCAGTTCATCTTGTGTGCTATGAGCCTCACCCATATCAACTGGTGTCACAACTTTCTGTCTGATTTCAAGCAGCCTTCCTTCCACCTCACTGTTACTCATAAGTCGCAATCCTTCTGATACCCACTTCCAGAAGCAAACTTCAGGTTCTTTTTAAGTTAAAGTGCCATATTTAGAAAAGTATTTATGAATGTATTACCCATTTAACATGT